ACACACACACAACAACACACACACACAACAACACACACACACAACAACACACACACACAACAACACACACACAACAACACACACACACACAACAACACACACACAACAACACACACACAACAACACACACACACAACAACACACACACACACACACAACAACACACACACACAACAACACACACAAAACAACACACACACAACAACACACACACAACAACACACACACAACAACACACACACAACAACACACACACAACAACACACACACAACAACACACACACAACAACACACACACAACAACACACACACAACAACACACACACAACAACACACACAACAACAACACACACACAACAACACACACACAACAACACACACACACACACAACAACACACACACACACAACAACACACACACACACAACAACACACACACACACAACAACACATACACACACAACACACACACACACCAACAACAACAACAACAACAACACACACACACACAACAACACACACACACACAACAACACACACACACAACAACACACACACACACACACAACAAAACAACACACACACATACACACACACAGACCTTTTGCTTACTGAGGTTTAGGGTTCTACCCCCATTCAAAGAATGGCAAGGACCCAATTTGGACGATGACAATCCTGAACGGTGAACAATGGTGAGTTATCCGAACCAAAAACCATGTTTTAATGGTGGTAACTGATCCCCAGGGCCTCTTTTTCCCCAGATAGCTGAAAGCTACAGGGGTTCTAACTTCAATCAAGCAAACTGATTTTTGCGAGATGTGTTTTGGTAGCTGAATCCCCGGCCCCGTTTTTCTCGAGTCTCTTGTTTCCCGCTCGGTGCCCAAACTCCTTGTCAGGTCACGGCCTACGACATCGCGGCCAACGCCTGGGGCCGAGCCGGACGGGGTCAGTCCATTTTTTCTTCCCCAGAATTAGTTCTCCTTTTTGTTGTTTGGTGAGTTGGTTTGGCCATCCGGGCCTCAAACGAAGGGCACTGACCTCTCGGAACTCCAAATGGCAATCTGGGACAAAGTAGGCTTTGAGAATGCCGCTTTTGGTTTTTGGTGGGTTTGAGAGGGAAGCCGAAAGGAGAAGTGCTGCGAAACAATCGGAAGGTCTCCTTAAAAGACACACACACACACACAGTTACCGTTTGGTCGTGAGCAATTTGTGGATCCTCCAAAAGGCCGGCGGATTGGGTTGGAACTTGTTGGTTGAAACAGTGGGATTTTCCGAATTGAACCCACAAGAAGTCGAGAACTTTTTTGCAGAGGAGTCGTTGCAGCAAACGTTCGATCCCGACACCGCTCGAGGCGGGCATTTCTTCCTGAACCCTCAAAATTCCCTTAAAAATGGGTTTGACCCCCAAAATTATGGGGTGATATCCCATTTTTAAAAGGGAATTTTGAGGGTCCGGGTTCCTTCTTTTTTGGCATGCGTTCACCGGGGAGGCCGGCGAGGGCAAGCGGAAAGCAAGATCTAGATCCCTCGAAATGAGTTCTGTGGTTCCCTCCCCTCGGATGAAAGCAACCGTCAATACCCTTCCTCCAGCAATCATGGAAGTGGACCTTTTTGGGGCTTCCCCAAAAGGAAGGCTTTCGTCTTCCAAAGCTCTCCGATGGTCAGCTTCCGTGATTGTTGATTGTAAAGGCTGGGGTCTTCATTTTGACGGTGTCTGGGGGTTATCAAGGTCAGAAAATGTGGCTGTGTCCCTTTAACCCACCACTTGGGTGACTTTGATCATGGTAAAATAATGAGGCCAGAAAGGGGATGACGTGGGCAGGCTCACCAAGTTGCCACTCAGACCTGGAGCTTACTGGGTGGATTGGCCAAACTGCAGTGGCTGCTTCAAAAAAGGCCCCCCAAAAAAGGAGGGGTTGGTTGGCTCAAGATCTTTCAGCGGCTGAGAATTGTGGTCCTTGTTTTCTTTGAAGGCCCCCAGATTCTTCGGATGCTTTGTTCACAAGGTCCCCTGGCTTCACCGGATCCATGGGATCCATGGGCACGATTCCTTTTCCGCCCCACACGCCTTCGTGGCCAGCAGTCAAAGCAGCACTAAACGGTGGTGGCGCTTTGGAGGATTCGGCCGAGCGACCGTGTTCCCTCTAAGTCCCAAAGTGGCCGGACACTTTGGAATCCTCGCTGTACCCTCTTGGAAAAAAGTAAACAGAGGCAACGAAACCCTGAGATCCCCCCTGCAACTTTTTCTGGCAGCTGAGGCAACTGGGGCAAGCGCAAGTCTGTTTTTTTTTCTCCTGTCGTCATTGGTTCACGTTTGGCGGTTCGGGATTAAAAAGTGCGCGGAGGGAAACCCCCCCGAGCTCCAAGCGAGCAGCTCGGGTCGGCAACCCCTGGCCACCCGTCGGCAACGAGCCAACGAGCCCGCCGCACGCCGAGGAGAGCCCGGAGTGCTCCGTATGCTTGGAGGACCTCTTGTTGGGCGCTCCCGCCTGGAGCCCCCAGCAAAAAGCGATCACGCTTAAAGTTCATGACTCGGTGCCCCAGCCAGGTGCGTTTTTATCGTGTGTTTTTTTGCTTGGGAGGGGGCCCCTAAAATAGACTACAGAAAAAAAAAGGGTACCCTTATTCTAACCTCTCTACTGCAGGACCTAGATGAGCTTGCTCGCTCCTTTTTTTTGGCGGGGGGCTCCCAACCAGACGTGTTTTTGGATCTGCCCAAAGGATGGGTAGGGTGCATCTTCGATCTTCCCGAAAAGAAACCAAAGGGGGTGTGGTAGCTTGGGAAATCGTCCATATCTTTTCAGTTGCTCAAAGGGAAACAAGCAAAAGGCAGGGTATCTATCGGTTTTTAGACAGAACCCTTTTTAGCACCCAGAATCAAAGGGCTGGAGACCTTCTCCTACTCCTCCTCCTCCTCCTCCTCCTCCTCTTTCTTCTTTTGGGTCTTTCCTACTTTCGCCCAACCCAAGCGAACGTTTGCACTGAACTTGGCGCTTGAATGGGTGTGTGGTTTCGAGAGTGCCCGTTTCACCTTGGTTCAAAGGGGCATCAAAAGGAAGCCGCACATTTGTAGGGGTCCTCCTGTTTTGACGCATACCCAAATGCAAAAACTGCTTACTTTGGACAGCTCCATACTTCCCGCCCACAACCTGTTGGATTCATGATGTTTCCTAATTGGTTTGCCCGACCATGGCAGTGGTCCGTTTTGCGTTCTTTCACCCTCAAAAGTAGTCCGTTCCCTCGAACGGCTTCGCCAGCTTGGCGCTTCTTGCTCCGAAGCTTTCTTTCCTCACGGCCTGTAGAGGGAATGACTTGGGCCCAAAAGTTCATGGACGATGTTCGACCGTAATACGGGTCCGGGGCGCGGGGGGGCCGAAAGTCGACTCTTAAACAAAGTTTGAAGGCCCAGTTTCATGAGCCGTCTGGTTGTTGAAGAAGAAACGGTTACTGTTTCTTCCTAAGGGGAGCGAAACGCAAAGACTGTACAGGAGTTGTGGTTCTTCTTCTGCGTGCTTTCCGGTACAGCAGATTTACTGGTACCATCAGGGTCACCACAAGGAAAATGGCCCAAAATGTTCAAACAACCTTGTTGAGACACGTTGAAACAAGGGCTCCACCCAACCCTGGGAACGGGGGCTCAACGCCTGATTGCAATGTTGCGTTTAGACTTGGTCGAGCATAGACGGACCCCGTTTACCTAAATGTGTAGCCCTTTGTTTTGGGAGGTCTTTTCATTACAACCTGTTGGTTTTCCCGTGGTTGGAAACCTTTTGTCGCCCCAAATCAAGCCATTGTGCTTAGATGTTCAGCACATTTAGCAAGCCTTGCGCTGGGTTAGCTCTCTTCTAACCATGGTTACCTGCGTTCAAAGTGGCCAAGGAACATCCACGTGTATGTTGACCACTGGGCATACCAAAATTGCAAGTTGTTCTCCTCAGCCGGTTTCAGACCAAATATGGAACGGAGCTGCCGAGGAACACATATGGGTATGGGTCCAAATTAAAAGATCAGGGGACCGCAGGTTTTGGTCCACGTTTCCACTTGCCGGGTAACCCATGGTTCCATTTTGGGTACATATTAATATGACCCACAGTCATATTATCTACGGATGTGGATGCGAGAAACGGGGTAGCCTCAATGCCACACCCCGGCACCGCTCACGTGGACGGCTCACGTGAGGCGCTGCGGATTCCTTGTGGCCACCTGTTCCACGAGGAGTGTGTGAAGGACCTGACGGTCGGAAGGCCGATTCTTCACCCATTTCGTAGGCCATAAAGCCGGCTTTGTTCAGCCGCCACATTAGGTGTCTGTTTTCATCATTGTAGAACCCATGTCGGGAGTCTGGATGTTGTTTTTTTGTTGGCTTGGAGTCTGTTCAGATTCACATTCTGATGTTAGCACTGCTTCTTGGTATGAAATTTTAATTCTTCGATCTTTTTCTGGTTCTGCTTGTTTCTAGCGGCCAGTGGTGCGCAAGTCGAGGTTCCCGAATTGACCCGCATAAGACAGGCCCATCCAGTTGGAGGTCTTGGGATCTCAAGAAGTTTGCTTCAAATTTGGTTGCTTTAAGGGCCTTTTTGAGTTTCGCAGTCCCAAGATTTGTTTGGAAAAAGCAACTTCCTGGGAACAATGGGAACCCCGGATTCGTAAACCCCTGGTTGCTTAATAGGGGGTGTCCCCCTTTTGCTGGGGTTCACTCAAGTTTCGTTGCGGAAATCTGATTTGCATCCGTTTGTGGCAAGTCTTTTTTTGCTGAATCTTGGGACCTCAAAAAGGGCCCTGAACGTCTATGTGCTGAAATAAATATGTTGCTTTTTATTGTCCCCTGCTGGTTTTCAAGGGAATCTATCACTTCAGTTGTTTTTTCCCCCAACAGAACTTAAGCAAATGGAGGTTAAGGCAAGCCTTGAGATCCCTTTCCTAAGGGGTCTCTGAGTCTGTGATCCCCAAATGCGAAAAATTGCCCGCGGAGTCAAATTCAACCGGCTCGTGAGATGTAAGGGACCCCTCCAAAGTGTGGTTTTCTTTTGGGTTTTCCTTTAAAACCGGCCGAGACCCATGTATAAATATATGGCTGTGGGTCAACACCAATGGTACCATTTTGGGGGTTTAGGTGCACCACCCATTTCAGTCTATTTTAGTGGGGATTGGGATGTTCACTGGGGGTACGGGATTTTGACCCATGGCCATATAAATATATAAATATGTAGTGACTTCACGCCGAAAGCGCCTCCAGTAAACCAGGTAAACAAAAAGGTGATCAACACGGGGCTTTCTCAACAAAAAGACACACCCCTATCTACATGTATACATATGTATGTCATTCTACTGGTTGATTCCTTTTCCATTCTTTTCAACCATCGTTCTTTCCATGAACCGGATCCGTTTTCCCTGGGTTTCCGGAGGTTTTCTAGAAAGAACCAACCTGCAGCTGGAAGAATGGAAGGTAGCCCTAGACTTATATACCCCTAGGTTCGTTGGCCCAGGCCATTTGGTCTTCGTCGCAGGAGTGGCTGAAAAAGAGCAACGAATGCTGCTGGCCCAGAAGTTCCGAAGCCCTGAAGGGTCTGATGGATGGATGGTCTAAATCTACTTGGTGGTTCTCAGCCATCCCGTCCAAAAAGATTTTTTGTTGGTTGTTCTAGGGGTTGATTCCTTTAAACTTTTCCATTCTTTTCAGCCATCTGTTTCCCCTGGGGTTCTCATGGGTTTCTGAAAAGATTCGGATCCCTGGAAAGAATGGGGAAGTGTCCCCTAGAGTTAGTTGGTTTAGTGGAGATGTCCATTTCACCCCCAAGTTAAACTTTTAGCAGGGGATCGGTTTGGACAGCCCTAAATATGCAGCACGTAGCTAGGAAGCAAGTTGGGATCAATTTCTCAAAGTCTCTCCATCTGCCTAAGAATAGCTTTTATCTCCTGTTGATTTTAACCGGCATCTATCACTACTTGTTGTTTTCTGTATTTTCCCAGGAGACGTATTCGCAAATGGAGGATACTGATTTGGAAGCTTTAGCAAGAGGAACATGTCCAATGCCTTCGGGGAAGGTGAGCGCTTCTGAATATACTTGGCCCAAAGTCACTAGTTACTATTCGGCTGCTATGACTCCCATGCGGCTTTGCTCTAGAAATGACAGCTTCGGATGAATATCCCTCTTCCCCAAACAAATCTCCTGAATGGAAAGTTGTTTGGTGAACTTGTGGTGTTTTGGTGTTGCTTCGTATTGCCTCCTAATTAGATCCAATTGATTCATCATAAGATGCCCAAATGAATTACTTGAGCAGTACTTCCTATCTAAAAGCTATTTCAACATAAGACATTCGTGCAAACTCTAATTGAGACGTTACTGGGAATTGAAGATACTAATTCCAATTGAAATCTACTGAACGTGCGACTGAAACTTAAATCCTTGCCATTTAGAATTTGCAAACCAACATGCTGAAACTGTATTTCCTTGAGATGGTGTTTTCGTTTTCGTTCACTCCGTTCAAGGGGCAGGCACGTTGATTGATTCCTGCTGACAATATCATTCAAAGTAAGAAGTCCAATTGAATCAAAATGAAAGGCCTTCTGAAACTTGAAGTCTTGTAATGTACCACTTGCAAACCAGTGGGCTGAGTAGCCTTTTCCCTGGATCTCTACTGGATGTTCACTCCTAAGGGGCAGATCAACTAGACGAAACGACCAGCGTGTCGTTCCTTATTAGGTTCTATTTAGATTGTGACTAAATTCCAAGAAGCACTGGCGAGTCCGGAATCTCTGTAGAGGCAGGATCGCTTTCGTTTGCAGCCGATGGCAAAGACTACGAGATCAGCACCAAAGAGGAGAAGTACGGTTTCAAGGTCGGGGCTAGCTAGCTGCAATCCCGGCACGGCAAACGAATCGCACACGAGAGCCTGGTCTACGAGGTTGCCAACTCATCGGTCTGCCCGAATTTCATGCGCGTGGCTCCGTCCAGTGTCAAGGCAGAGAAATGGCGCGCCCGCTGGAACGCCAGATTTGACAACATGCTGGAGTCCCTGGATGAGCCTTTTGAGAGCAGCCAAAAGCTTTGAGGAAAGCAGCTGGGACACCTTCGAACCTTCAAGAGCTGCTCTGGACTGAAATTCGATCTTCTGAAGATCTCTTCCTTGTGGAACAAATAAAAGGAATTCCTGTTAAGTTCCAGTTGACTGCGTAGCTGGGATCACTGAGCTGTTCCTGGAGTCTCCATGACCCTTCAAACATGGGGTCCTGACTTTTGGGTAGATGACCTCAGTTTATGTCAACTCCAGGTCTGCATTTCTCCTCCCACCCCCACGCCCTTAAAACTGGAACTGGGGAAGGGGCGCGGGTTTTCCGGATCTCCAATTCTTGTCCTTCTTTCTTTTTCGGCCCGGGGGGGAAGACTGGAGAAATGGAGGTCCCCCTTAAGGTATTAGAAGGTACTTGAAGGGGCCAGGTGCAGCAGGTAAGTGGTACGCCTTTGGAATTCACCCACAGGGAGACTAGTTTCCACGGCTCTGGGGGTGATTTCACCCTTACACTCACTTGCTCAGCTTTTTTCTGGGACCTCCATGGTAAAATAAGTGCTTTGTCAGAAGCAACTGCTTTTTCACTAAACTGCGAGCACAAAGTTCGCAATCATGGAATCTCGGACAATTCTGTAACTTCTGCACTCATGAGTGTTTCGCAAAAAAAGCGGATTTTGCCGGTCAGAAAGCGGACCGTCCCGGTCTAAAAGCGGATTTTCCTAAAATGTAGAAAGGGCTGGTCCTAAGGGGAAAATGTCAAATGTTGGGGGATTTCTTGGAGTATTGTTTTTCAACAGTTTAACCATCTTATTCGTTTTCACTACCCATGTTTCATGCCATGTTTCATTTTGTTTTTCTCGGGGTGATGGTTTATTTCGTTTTGAAAGAGGTTAGTACTTTTAGTAGTTTCATCGATTGGGGTGTTGGCGGGTCTTCTGGTTTTCCTATTCTTTGTTTATGTCATATTCAAAATCTGATGAGGTTTCAATGTAATATCTTATCTCTTCCTGTGTTGTTTGCTGTTTGTATTCTTTTGTTGCTTCTTCAGTCTTTGGTGGCTTTGGATTCTTAACATTGTTGATGTGTTGTTTGGTTCTTTCGTGTTTTGCTTTCTGACTAAGTGAGACCATACACCTACAATATTGACATTCAATTTTTCGTAGGTTGTATTCTTTACTGTGTTCTTTCTGGTATTGCTGTTTGTGTTCTTTATTATTTTCATAATATTCCTTCGCTTTTTGGCTAAGTGTTTCTTTATTTCTTTCTCTGTATCTCTGTTTGCTTTCGAGACATAAATTACATTGTTTCCTTTCTTCTTTGAACCTTTCTAGCGGTTGAAAGACTTTACATTTTGAACACTGCTTTTTGTCAGTCATATATCCTTAAATATTAAGGGGTCTAGTCTTTAAATTAATTCAGGGGTATTCATAGGTTAAAAGTTCACTATAATTATAACATATAAGAGTATAAATGATATAATTATGGTTTAGTTATGAATTACACAGGTTCATCAACAATTAGTTTAAACCTTATGTTTTGTACTCCTCCAAAATTCATTCTACTTCTTTCTTCATCAATACATCTGTATATTGTTTGATGTGCCTCTATCATTACTTCGGTTATATTATCTATGGTTATATTATCTACAAAATCATCACTATGAAAATGAAAACTAAAAGTGTTAAAATGGTCGTCTTCATAATTGAAATGATGAAACCTTACAAACATATTTACCTCAACTATTATCACTGCTTCATAACCGTTATCGGTTTCAATGCCATCTAACAAACAATCTAAGTTTTCATTTTCATTAAACACTATATCTTTGATGCTTTTTATGCTTAAAGGTATATTTCTTGAAATGTAATACTCAATTACGTGTCTCTTTATATCATCGCCATCTTCAACAGTATAGCGCTTTGTCTTTCTTTTTGTTTCTGTTCTGTCTATTTTATATCGTTGTTGTATTCTCTTTAATGTCTTAATATGATTATGTTTTAGTTTCAAATACTCAGGTCGCCCTAATTTATATGCAATGATACCTTTTAATACATCAGCAGGTAAGCTAGCACAATTCTCAAATATAAAATTATTCTCTGACATTTTACCCTCACTCATTTTTCTCTTAATATATAAGGCTTTTTCTCTTTAAGTAGTTTTGGCTAGGGGTTGCTGGTTGGCCAGTCTGGGTTTCAGGTTTAATTTAATTGTCTTAACCTTCTTGTTAGATTATAAAAACAATGTTTAATCATATTATAAGATGATAATATTAATAAACAAAAGTTAATTTGACCCGTATTCAATCTCACCAGCGATACAACCAATATAACAACTCATACTATACTCACAACAATAATGCCCGTATCCTTTTATTAATTGGTCTATGTAAATGTCAATTAATTCGCTAAGAATATATCTCATATAATAATTGTTATTTCTATATGACCAACAACTGTTTAGGTTTGGAAAGCTAAATCCACAACGTTTAAAATTTTTTAAATCTTCAATGTCAATACATTTTTTTAAAATGATACAAACTTCATATTCATTATTCTTACAGTATGATTTTAATGCTTGATAATACATTTTTCTATTTTTAAACCGTTCTTTAACTTCTTGTATATCAAATACTCGGTCAATGTGTTTTCTGTAATGTCTTATTTTCATACTATATTGGTTTTCTGCTAGTAGAGTAAACACATTATTTTGCATTAGTTTAATAACTTGTAATTGAAGTTCTGCTTTTTCCAGTCCTTCTTCAGGAATGTCTTTATCTCTCATAAAATGTTCTTCTTCATGCATCAAATACCAGCAATCAAAACATGTTACTCTAATACAGCCACCTATAAGGTTACAAACATTAACAGGTAAAATATTAGCTAGTGCTACGACAGACTTACATTTTTTATTTTTACAAGGACAATTATCATAATTAAACAGTGTCATTTTTTCTCTTACTATATTATATCCATTTTTCTTTAAGTAGTTTTTTTAATGTTAAGGGGTGGGGGTTATATCGATAAAAAATATTTTCTAACAAATAATATAATGGCGAGATTAACGAAAGACCAAATAATCAGCAACATCTATTATGACTTAGACGAGGGTTTCGGAAGCACACAGGCAACACACAAGAAGGCAAAGGAAGAAGACCCAACGATAACATTAGAAGATGTAAAGTCTTTCTTAAAGAAACAACCAAATAAACAAATCAAAAATTATAGAGGCACTAATTCCTATACCGCTCCCTTCGCACGATATGAATATCAAATAGACATAATGCATATGTCACCTTTAGCTAAAGACAAGAACGTTCCACAGTATGCTTTAGTCGTGATTGACATCTTCAGTAAATTAGCAGATGCAATTCCGATGGAGGAAAGAGACGGAGAGCACGTTCTAAAAGCACTAAGAGCAAGTTTTAAAAAGATGGGTTATCCGATGTCTGTGTATTCTGATGATGATGGAGCATTTGCAACCAAAAACCAAGTTCAGGATTTCTTCAACAGCGAAGGTATCAA